CCTGTGACCCCTGGGTGCGCTCCCTTAGCGCAAGTGGCCCTGTGATGGGGTTCTTTTTGGAAATGTATTTTGACTGGACCTTGGTGGATTTGGAAATGGAATTGGGGGGCCAGTGACGTGCACTTCATTCATGCCGGTCTGAGGGGCGGCACACATCTGGGCTGTGCAGGGCCCCACGGCGGTGGCAGCGGCGGCTCTGAGGGCGGCTGGATGAAAACGGGAACGCACACGCTCTGGTTGCGTGGCCTGGTGCTATTGGCAGCCCCCTCTCCACTCCCCGACCGACACTCAATTACGGGAAGCCAAGAAAGATGATTTTTAGAACCTTTGCCTATATTAGGTTGTACTTATGTACATATTTTGCAGTGTTTCACAAGAGAAAATGGCCTTAACTGCCCCTTATTCTCTTTCCATGTTGTAAATAAACGTGTTTAATACAAGTTAAAGCTATATATGAAAACTCAGAACTTTAATCCTGTCAGCTTAAAACTTGTATAGGGAATCCTGACTTTTAAAATGTGACGGTATTTGGATCTGTGTTGAAAGTCATATATTTTTATCTGTGCAGTGCTGAGTGCAGGCCACCAGCTCCTAATAGAGGTTCCCTATGAGTGCATTGGACATGGTAAATAAACACATCTCTCTCCACTCAGGATATCTGGAGCGTTACAGACTTCGTAGGTGGTCGTCATATGCGCTTGTGAAAGTGTCTGGGCGTGCACCAGGCCAGCGTCTGGCTCGGGGTTCTGGCTCCCCGCTCATCTGACTCCGTTTGCCTGCCCTTCTGCTGAAGGCTTGTGAGGTCCTGAGCCCCCTGCCCTTGAGGACACAGGCTCCTTCCTGCAGGGCCGTCGGAGGGAAGTTTTGGAAACAACAGAAGGATTCTGGCGTGCTCTCGGTGCTGCGGGGGGACTGGGTTGTAACCCATGATGTCTGTGTGTGGGCGTGAGAGGCAGCCGGGCGCAGGGCGCTTGGAGGGTCGCACATGCAAATCCCAGAGTACTGGGATTATAGGCGGGAGCCACCCGTCTGGCATACAGCAGTCCTTTTGTTGAACTGGAGCTGGTTCTCGTGAGGCAGGGACAGTGCAGAGGCAGTGGTCCCAGAACTGCAGGCAACTGTATGTGCAGGTTTACTTACATTCACACTAAGGGATGAGTCACCAGGACTTTGCAGGGAGGGGTGGTAACGCCCGGCTTTTGTTTCGAAAGGGGTGGTAATAACCTCCCCGTTGTTGCCACAGCATTTGTAAACTGTCCAGGCACTGGTGGGGTGGCTTATACCCATGAGCGACGCGGGCCGCCAGGGATCCCTTCCTGGCCATCTGCCGCCTCCTCCGGCTTCTTCACTCCATCCTGTCTGGAGGCCGTCCTGCAGGTCTCCTGCCTCCCTGCCAAAGCCAGCAGATGGGACCAGGGATCCCGCTCTTCCCCAGCTGGAGACCGGCTGGCCTAGGACAGAGCGCGTGGCGGCTGCCTCCAGCATGGCGTGCATCTCTTGCACTCACCGCTGCAGAGACGGCCAAAGCACTGACCCCATGCAGAGCCCCCTTGGGACCTGGTTGTCACAGGCCACCCCTCTGTCTAGGGTGAGGGGTCGTTCCTGGAGAGTTGACACCAATCATGGTCCTGACCTTTTACGAGATGAGGGCCTGGCGGGGGGTGCTGGACGGGAAGGGCAGGCAACAGGGTAGCCTACCCTGTGACCCCATGCAGCCTGCATCTCCGCTGTCTGGAGGAAGCAGATGGGAGGGAGCTTGGGGCTCAGGCTAGGGGGACATGGCGGAGGGTTGTGAACTTAGGGACATGCCACTGGGCACGGTAGTGCCCCCAGGGACACTGCTCAGCATGCTGAGCAAGCACAGGACGATCCCCAAGCGTCAGCCGTGCCGAGGTGGAGAAATGTGACACGCCCCGGGGCACAGCCAGGGCCCAGTGTCCCCAGAGCCTCCAGTCCCACGTCTCTGGCAGTGCCCAGCTTCCACACAGGGCACCACTGCTGCCTGAGGCAGGTCCTCCCTCAGGCTTTCCAGAGCCAAGTCTGGAGCTAAACTAGATAGGGGCGCTAAAGTGAGTGTCTGCCCCAGGTCCTTCGAACGTCCACACTAGCCATGAGGCCCCACAGATTCATCTCTGCTTAAGGACACAGCAAGAGGCCATGGCGCCAGCTCCTGGCATGTGTGCCCTGGAGCTCTGGCAGCTGAAGCCCGGTTCAGCACCCTTCGGCCTCCAATCCCAGGTGGCTCAGTTCCCGGCCTGGATCCAGAAGCAACGATCTGAGGGTAGGGGTCCTTGCCCACTATGCCTGGGGCTGCAGCAAGGCCAGGGCCAGGGTCACTTCAGCCCCGGGAGGACCTGCAGGAGGAACCCACGTGGAGAGGCGTCTGGTGTGGTAGGTGGGCACCTCCCTGGCAGTCCTCAAGGTCACCCTTGGCACTTGGGGTGGCTGCAGGTCTTGCCACAAATCTTGTCTTCCCAAGGGAGACAGGCAGTGGGTGGCCTGCCCAGCACCCGTTAAGCCACTGTCCCCGCCCGCTTCAGATTTGCCCCCAGGCACTGGGCCTGCACTGTGACCACGAGCTCTGGCAGGACGGAAGGAAGGCGGAGCATGTACCCGTGTGGTCCCGCAGACACCCCCTCTCCAACCTCCGCTCCACCTCCTCAGGCCCGACCCCGGGGGCTACTTTCATCCCACCAGCACTTGCAGAGCTTCACCGGCAGTTGCGTGAATGTGGGGATGGCACAGGCACGGCTGGGGCCCAGCACGGGTGCACCCCGAGTTCCGCACGGGGTAGAGCACCCACACAGAGCAGCTCCTGTGTTGTGGAGTTGTTGGGCTGGCTTTGCTGGCAGTGGCCTTGCTGGAGTGTCACGGTCCAGGGCCCCCAACCCTGAAAGGACACACCTGGTGGAGAGGCTGCCACCTCATCAGCAAGGGGTTTGAGCCCTGCCCCAGGACAGCTCACCGCAGCGCCCTTCCTGGGGTGGGGCATCCTGAGCCAGTCCCTGCTCCTGGTCCCTTACCCTTCGGTGCAGGTGCCTGGCTCCTGGGAAACCCTGTGCCTGCTACACTGGTGAGCATTTAACTAGCACCCCAAAATAAGGTAGGCCCTAGATTTCAATTTTTGTAAATACTTCCTTCATGGCCTATTTACTTTTTTTTTTGAGACTGAGTCTCCGTTGCCCAGGCTGGAGTGCAGTGGCATGATCTCGGCTCCCTTCACTTCCACCTCCCGGGTTCAGGTGATGCTCATGCCTCAACCTCCCATGTAGCTGGGATTACAGACGTGTCCCAGCACACCTAGCCAATTTTTGTATTTTTAGTAGAGATGGGATTTCACCACATTGGCCAGGCTGGTCTCGAACTCACGACCTCAGGTGATCTGCCCGCCTCGGCCTCCCAAAGTGCTGGGATTACAGGCGTGAGCCAGTGTGCCTGGCCCAGCCAATTGAGACAGTCTCTGTCGCCCAGACGGGAGTGCGGTGGTGTGGTTTCGGCTCGCTGCAGCCTCGATCTTCTGGGCTCAAGCGATCCTGCCACCTCAGCCTCCCAAGTAGCCTCAGCTACTCCCCATCACCCCTGGCTAATTTCTTTTTTTGCAGAGAGGGGCCTCACGTTACAGGCTAGTCTTCAAGTCCTGGGCTCAGGTGATTGATCTCCCACCTCAACCTCCCAAGTAGCTGGGACTACAGGTGCACACCACCACACCCAGCTAATTTTTGTATTTTTAGTAGAGACGGAGTTTCACCATGTTGGCCAGGATGATCTGGATGTCTTGACCTTGATCCGCCCGCCTTGGCCTCCCAAAGTGCTGGGATTACAGGGATGAGCCACTGTGCTCAGCCCCAACAATGAATTTTTAGGAGTGGGTCTAAAATTAGGGTAGACATTGCTGGTCTGTGTCGGTCTAATAACATCAAGGCAGGATCTTTCTGAGCCGTTGGCAGGGGTTTTGTACTGAAACGGGTACTCCTGTTTGAGCTTTTTTTTTTTGAGAGGAGTTTTGCTCTTGTTGTCCAGGCTGGAGTGCAATGGTGTGATCTCAGGTCACCGCAACCCTCATTTCCCAAGTTCAAGCGATTCTCCTACCTCAGCCTCTCGAATAGCTGAGATTACAGGCATGTGCCACCATGCCCGGCTAATTTTGTATTTTTAGTAGAGACGGGGTTTCTCCAGGTTGGTCAGGCTGGTTTCGAACCCCCGACTGCAGGTGATCTGCCCGCCTTGGCCTCAAAGTGCTGGGATGACAGGAGTGAGCCTCCGCTCCTGGCCAAGTCTGATTTTTCTTTTCAAAATCACACTACAGGGTCGGGCGCAGTGGCTCACACCTGTAATCCTAGCATTTTTGGGAGGCTGAGGCGGGAGGATACTTGAGGTCAGGAGTTCGAGACCAGCCTGTTTAACATGGTGAAATCCCGTCTCTACTAAAACTGCAAAAACTAGGCCGGTGGTCAACACGCCCAGCGGGGCAGACAACGGAGTCGCCGTCACCCATCTGCCACCCTCACCTCGCGCCAGGCAGCTCCCCAGCCCCAGGAATGAGGAGTCGGGGAGACCCGGTAGCACATGTTCAGCACTTGTTCGGGGTCCTTCGCCTCCAGCCACTTCCGTCTTCCGGGTAATTCCACCTCCGTAGCCCTGAGCCTGCACTTCCGTCGGCTCTGGCTGGTCCGGAAACGATTCTGAACCCGAGGGCACATCTAGGGCCCGCACACCCCCCCCCTTGGGATTATGGGAAATGTAGTTTTTATTTTTTTGGTTTTTTTTTTTTTTTTGGCCTCCGTAAGGGACCAGTCGGAGCTGAGGAGCCGGGGTCAGACCGTGACTCCCTAAAACGGAAACCGTCGCCTTTCGGGCCCGGCGGGGCCTGCGACGACGCAGAATCCGGGGCCGCGCTGCGCTGCGCGTAGGAACCGCCAGGCAGCCGCTGCCGATCCGAGCGGGCTCGGGGACGGACCGGAAGTGCCTGAGGGGCGGCCGTGGAACGGTCAGCGGGGACGCTGCGGCGGGCGGACCCGGGGTTCTGCCGAGAGGGTCCCGGCGTCGGGCAGCGCGATCCGGGGCGAACTTCCGGTGCGTCCGCGGGCGAACTTCCGGCGCGTCCGCGGGCGAACTTCCGGCGCGTCCGCGGGCGAACTTCCGGCGCGTCCGCGGGCGAACTTCCGGCGCGTCCGCGGGCGAACTTCCGGTGCGTCCGCGCGCGACGCCGCTTGCGTCGGGGGCTTGGGAGCCTCGGGGGCTTGGGAGCCTCGGGCGCGAGCTGCGTTTGAAGCCGAGTCTCCCTCGCGGGCTGCGGTGGCGGAGGGAGGAGGGGTGCGGCGGGACGGACGCCCCGGCCCCGGCCCCGGCCCCGGCCTGCCCGCGGCTGCTCGGAAGCGCCGCCGCGGGAGCTGAGCGGGCACCTGTGTTCCAGCCCCGCCGGGCCCCGGGCCGCCGCGCAGACCATGCTCCTGGTGCGCCTGACCTCCCCGCTGTTCAGGGCCGTTCCCTGGGCCGGTAAGAAGCGCCGCGGGCCGGCGGGGAGGGACACGCCTGGGCCGGAGTGCGGGTCTCGGCAGCCCCGAGGGCGGGCCCGTGGCCGCGCACGAACTCTCCTCCCTCTGAACTTCCGAGCTCACGGAGGGAACCTGGGGGCGCAGCCGGGAGGCGGGCGCGGGGGATGCTCGCGGGGCGAACGCGCTGCTCGCCCGCCCGCAGGGCCGGCGCGGAGCCGCGGGCGGTGACTGGCCGTCTGGTTCCCCGCAGGCCGCCGCGGGCTCTGGCCCAGCTCCGGAGCGCCGCGCGGCCCGGCCTGCGGGCGCCTGTGCAGCACGCAGCCAGCCGGCCCGGGCGGGGCGGCCTCCCTCCCCCGCAGGGGGCCCCGCCGGAGCTGGAGGAGACGCTGGTCCCCAGGAAGATGTCCATCAGCCCGCTGGAGAGCTGGCTTACGGCCCGCTGCCTCCTGCCCGGACTGGATGCCGGGACCCCGGGGACTGTGGCTCCACCCCAATCCCACGAGTGTCAGCCCTGCCGTACGGGGGAAAGGGCTGAGCAGGGGACGAGGGGGTCGGGGGTGCGCCTCCGATGCGGGGCAAAAACGTGCTGAAGATCCGCCGGCGGAAGATGAACCGCCATAAGTACCGGAAGCTGGTGAAGAGGACGCGGTTCCTGCGGCGGAAGATCCGGGAAGGACGCCTGAAACGGAAGCAGGTGAGCGGCCCCTCCGCGGCCCTGCGAGGAGCAAGGTGCTGGGAACGCGCGGCTTTGCCGCGAATGACTCGGTGGTCCCTCCCTCTGCCCCCGGCAGCTCAAGTTCGAGAGAGACCTGAGGCGCATCTGGCTGAAGGCGGGGCTGAAGGAAGCCCCCGAAGGCTGGCAGACCCCCAAGAGCTACCAGCGGGGCAGATGAGCCTGGCACCGCCCTCCCGCCCGCTGCTGCTGTGATCCGTGGGAATAAATGCTCGGAGTACTCAGCCGTCCCCGCGGGTCTAGAGCCGCTTTTGCCTGGTGTGGCGACTCAGGATGCAGGCTGGTGCCAGTCCCTGGTGTTGTAGGGGCCCTGGGCACCAGGGTGGCAGGTTGTTCATCCGTCTTTCTAGCTGGTCCTCAGCCACCCTCCCGAGGGTGCTGGGCCTGTGGGAGCGAATGGGTGCTGTGTGCAGCCCAGGCTGGGTGCTGTGGAATCACTGTGAACGGAGCCCCTCCCTGAGCGCCGCATTCCCTGGGGGAGGTTGACCAAATGAAGACCCAGATGGCGGAAGTGCAGGAGGACAAGACTGCGGTCAAGGGAGTGCCCAGAATGCACGGGGGCCACTCAGGCGTGTTTCATGAGTGGAGGGCCGGGAGGGGCTTCAGCGGGAAGTCGGGGAAGGTCCTGGTGCTGTTGGCGGTGGTGGATGGTACCCGCCACACTCCGTGGATGTGGCCTCCGGTGGCCCTCTGAGCCGTCTGGCCGTCAGGGCCAGGCTGTTGGCCCGGCAGCCAGCCTTTCCAGGCATGTGTGCCACCTCCTGGGGCTCTGAGTGGAGGAGGGGGCTAAGCAGGAAGAGATGGCCCAGATGGGGTTCAGGGTGAGGGGTGGG